AAAACATAAGAAGAGCGCTGCAGGGTCAGACCAGTGGTCCATCTAGTCCAGCATTCTGTCTAACACAGTGGCCAGTCAGTTCCTCTGGATGGCCAATGGCAGGGCTTAGAGGCTGAGGCCTTCAATAGAACATTAGAAGAACCCTGCTGGATCTACGACACTGAAAGGCTGGACAACACATCCAATTACCATGTCAGATTACACAGGGAAGGCATTGAAATTCATAAACATAATTTCAACAGGAAAAGAGAGAGTGTAAAAAAAACCAGGGCATGGTTTCCTGTCCTGAAAAACACAAAATGCTCTACATCTTACAAGAGCACTACAGATAAGATTAGAATTTCAACAGCCAATCCAAATGCAAAAGAACCTCCTCAGGAAAGCTCCTCCATTAGCATGTCACAGCCTGGGGAACTCCTACAAGATAATGACTCAGCCCTACCCCACCTTCCTGAGTAGATATAAATTACCTGCCTACCATTTTCCTTCTCACCTTGACACAGAGAGGACTCCATCTTTCTGTGTTACACTCTCTGAGGATGCCAGTCACAGCTGCTGGCGAAACGTCAGGTCCTACAATGCCAAGACCACGGCAATACAGCCCGGAAAATCTACAACCACCTAGATGCAAACCCGGAAGTGTTGGCTTTGGAGCTCCTGCATCAATGGCAGAAGCGGTCTCTGAGAAAGGAAGACCTGAGGCAGTGTGTCACCTGCAGGGTCCGCGGAATCCCTTCTTCTCTCAGGAGGGCTGGCCCTGCCATATACAGCTGCCATGGTTTAAGGGGGAGAAATGAACGATGGCCCGTCGAGACGGAAATGGCTGGATGAGCTGACCTAGGAAACATCAGCGTCACAATGAAATTTCCCAGGAATTCAAAATATTCATCCCCCCCCCCAGTCAACATTTTGTGAACTTTGCTCTTTTGAGATTCTGATATCCAGATGTGATTGGGAGAGGTGTTTTTGCAGAGCTCCAGCGTGGAGAGGACCTAAAGAGCCTCTTGTTCAGGGTAAAAGAGGAGAGCGCAAAAGTGGGCTTGAAGCTCAACATCAAAAAAACTAAGATCATGGCATCCGGCCCCATCACTCCTTGGCAAATAGAAGGGGAAGTCGTGGAAGTAGTGACAGACTTCACGTTCCTGGGATCCCAGATCACTGCAGACTGTGACAGCAGCCATGAAATTAAAAGACGCCTGCTCCTTGGGAGGAAAGCGATGGTGAACCTAAACAGCATGATAAAAAGTAGAGACATCACCCTGCCAACAAAAGTCCGCATGGTCAAAGAAGCAATGGTATTCCCAGTAGTCATGTACGGCTGCGAGAGTTGGACTATAAGGAAGGCCGAGCGCCGAAGAATAGATTCTTTTGAACTGTGGTGCTGGAGAAGACTCTTGAGAGTCCCTTGGACTGCAAGAAGATCAAATCAGTCAATCCTAAAAGAAATCAACCCTGACTGTTCCCTGGAAGGCCAGATAATGAAACTGAAGCTCAAAGACTTTGGCCACCCAATGAGAAGGGAGCACTCGCTGGAGAAGACCCTGATGCTGGGAAAGGTTGAAGGTCAAAGAAGACGGGGACGGCAAAGGATGAGATGGCTAGACAGTGTCATAGATGCAACGAACATGAAGTTGAGCAAATTTCAGAGGACGGCGGAAGACAGGAGGGCCTGGCGGGAGCTTGCGAAGAGTTGGACTCGACTGTGCGACTGAACAACAACAAAGCATGGGTCTTGTTCAGAGGTTTTCACGGCAATACTTTGAAGCTCTCCCTTGCCGAAGTCAGCGTATAAAACCGAGTGTTTTCCCAAAGCCCAGGATTCAAACAAAAACATCCCCCATCCGGGGAGAACTTGCTTGTAAATTTCCTCCCAATGAGCTTCATTTCATCTGCCATTAAGTTGCGCGGCAAGATGTGCTTTCTCCTCCGCTCTCCCGCACTGGCGAAATGGGACCCAAAGCAAAGCACTTTTGCTTTCAAGAAGCCGTCAGGAGAAATCACTGCTAATCCCCGGCGGGAAAGAGCGGAAATGGAACAATAATTGTGCTGCCAGAACCAGCGATTCACTCCGAGGGGCACAGCTTCCATTTCCCGCAAGGAAATTCCCACTGGATCGTGTCCCATGCTCATCAATGGGGGGTGGGGCAGACGACTTCTCTGTCTCAGACACGCTCACGGGCAATGCTCCCTCTAAGATGTGGAGTCATGAGCAAAAAATTCTACTTTGTGAGCTACTGGCATTAAAGTTGTGAGCGAGCAATTTGGCTGCTGCATCAATTAGTTTCCTCTGGAGCCATCCTTCCTGAGCTGAGACAAAAAAAATCTGTGAGCCGGAGGCTAAAAGCCTGTGAGCTAGCTCACACTAACTCAGCTTAGAGGGAACACTGCTCACAGGCCAGTTCTCAATCCTGGGGCGAGGGAAACAAAAGAGAGCCAGTGGGGTGGGGTGGAGAGAGCGATGAACGAGGGCACCGGTTCAAATCTGGGTGACCTTGGGCCCGTCACAAACTCTCGGCCTGGCCTACCTCGCAAGGTAGTTGTGAAAGAATGGAACAGGGGAGAGTGATGTATGAAGCCGCTTGGAGTTCCAACTGGGGAGAAAAGCAGAATATAAATGAAGGCAAAATAAATGCAGATCTTTCCATGGGCTACTTTACTTGCACGGCTGGGTATTCACAGATGCACCTCCACCCCATGGGAGAAGGGGGAGACGGCAGCTTGCATCTATTAGTCTATAAATTGTGAGGTTGTGACTCCAACCCAAGAATGCTTGGACCCCTGCGTCTTTCTGGCCCCTCTTCTCATTCAAGGTAGGTGTCCGCACTACGTCGGCATCATGGCTGAGGGCCCAGGGGCCTGGGAGAAGGTTGCCAACTCTGCTCTTAAGAACATAAGAGAGAAGCCAATGTTGGATCAGGCCACTGGCCCATCCAGTCCAACACTCTTGTGTCACACAGTGGCCAAAAACACCAGGGGACCTCAGGAGGTCCGGCAGTGGGGCCAGAACTCCAGAACACCTCCCACTGTTGCCCCCCCCCCAAGCACCAAGAATACAGAGCATCCCTGGCCCCAGACCGAGAATCCCTATCTGGACGTTGTGGCTAAGAGCCATTGATGGACCTCTGCTCCATACGCTAATTCCCTCTTGAAGGCATCCATGCTTGTAGCCGCCACCACCTCCAGTGGCAGTGAATTCCATGTGTTCATCACTCTTTGGGTGAAGGAGTACTTCCTTTTATCCGTTCTGACCCGACCGCTCAGCAATTTCATGGAGTGCCCACGAGGAGTTCTTGTATTGTGAGAAAGGGAGAAAAGGACTTCTTTCTCGACCTGCTCTATCCCATGCATAATCTTGTAAACCCAGATCATGTCACCCGTCAGCGTCATTTCTCCAAGCTAAAGAGCCCCAAGCGCTTTAATCTTTCTTCCCCCGGGGGTTGGGAAATACCCGGAAATTTGGGGTGTGGATCTTTGAGAGGGTGGCGTCTGGGAAGGGGAGGGACCTCAGCAGGGTATGTGAAAAGTACGTGGACGGAGAGTGATTTCAGCTTAGCGTACTTTATTAGGTGCAGAACAAGACAACTTTAGCCGGCTCGCAGGCCAGCTTATATCCCCCGTGAATCCACTACCCATAACCCCCCCACTTCCCAATAGGTCCAAACTAGTGGCCGAGAGTCCCACAGGCTCTAAGCCCGGTGCCTAGCCCTCTGATTGGTGCAGGCTAGGATCCGCATTGTCCTTTGTTTGTTGGAGCGAAGCTTGACCACGTGGTGCCCAAGCTGACCCTGCGGTCGGGTCCTGATACATTACAGTACGATGCCATAGAGTCCACCCTCCATTTCCTCCAGGTGAAGTGATCTTTGTCCTCTGGAGACCAGTGGTAACAGCGGGAGAGCTCCAGCTGCCACCTGGAGGTTGGCAGCATCAGAGTGATAAACTATTCATATGATAAAGTAAAGGTAAAGGTTCCCTTGCTCGAAAGCCAGTCGAGTCCGACTCTAGGGTTGCGGTGCTCATCTCCGTTTCAAAGCCGAAGAGCCAGCGCTGTCCGAAGACGTTTCCGTGGTCATGTGGCCAGCATGACTAAACACCAAGGCACACGGAATGCTGTTATTCATATAATACACAGAATTAAATGCAAACAAATGGTAACCGTATAAACTAAGCCTGTTATTCCTGTTTGGTCCTATGTTGTTCCCTGGAAGGCCAGATAATGAAACTGAAGCTCAAAGACGTTGGCCACCCAATGAGAAGGGAGCCCTCACTGGAGGAGAAGACCCTGATGCTGGGAAAGATTGAAGGTCAAAGAAGACGGGGACGGCAAAGGATGAGATGGTTGGACAGTGTCATAGATGCAACGAACGTGAAGTTGAGCCAACTTCAGAGGACGGCGGAAGACCGGAAGGCCTGGCATGATCTGGTCCATGGGGTCGCGAAGAGTCGGACTCGACTGTGCGACTGAACAACAACAAAAATGTACTGCTCACCCTGTAACTCTATGTAGGGACTGGGAACTCTCATGTCATTGCATCTGAGGAAGTGCGCAGAGGAAAGCTGATACCCAGCCAGAATAAAACGTTGAGGGTCTTAAAAGTGCCCCCACTGGACTCGAACTATTCATATGCCAGGGCGGCCAATCATTGAAAGATCCGCTTCTCCGCGGGGCGGGAAGGGCACTCTGCCCATGCTCGGAGGCGCCTATCACTTGCTCACCGGCCACGCGGCTCCCGTTCTTCGGCGGGGCGCTCCGACCACACACCTGGCGCCCCCCGCCTCTCCCCCCCCGTTCACAGCTGGAGCGCCTCCTCCTTCGCCGCCCGCTTCGGATTGCCGGAAAGGCTCCGCCTTCCTTCGCCGCGATAGGTGGGCGAGGCGGGCCCCACGCCCCCTGTTTTGCATACCCCGACGTCAGAGGCGGCCCTCCTCCAATCCGCGGGCGGCTTCCGAGAGCGGGGAAGTGGGGCTCGGGAGGCGAGGCGAGCGGGGCGCAGGGAGGCGAGTGGCCGGCCAAGGCGCGGCGGGGCTCGGGGAGCGGAGCGGCGACGGCGCCCCCCGGAGGACCAGGTGAGCCGGCGGAAGGGAGGGCTGGGCGGGTGAGTGGGCGGCGAAGACAGCCCAGCCTCGGAGCGCAGCGGAGCTCCGGAGAGGCTGGACCGAGGGCAGGCGGAGTTCGCCTCCGCGCCGCTCCGGGAAGTGCGTCCGGGAAGTTTCGGGGGCTCCGGGTTGTCTCCTGCGCCCGGCTCTCTGCCCCGGGGTAGCTGAACGCGGGGTAAGCCTCCTCCCCCGGGGGCTCGCTGCCCACGCGGGGCAGCCCGGGCTCCTCCCCTGGGGGCCGCCGCGCAGCGGTCGCCTCTTCCTCGGGGCTGGAGCCGCGGCTCTCCCCGCCCCCGGTGCCTTCCTGGCCTCGGGACGCCGCAAGAAGTGGAGCCGGGCGAGCTCGACGCGGGCTGGAGGCGGAAGGTGCCGGGCTGCCGGCTGGAGCGGAGCCCTCGCTGGGAAGGAGGAGCCTTCTTTGTGTATTGGTGCCCCCGTCCTCCTCCTCCTCAAGGAGGACCCGAAGAGGCTCCCCTGGTTCTCCTCGCCTCTGTTTCGTCTTCACAACAACCCTGTGAGGTAGGTCTGGCCGGGAGTGTGTGGGTGACTGGCCCCAGGTCTCCCAGCAGAGCTTCTGTGGCACCCGTGGAGATCTGAACCCCGCTCTCCTGGAGCCTAGTCTGTCTCTCTAACCGCTGCACCACGTAGTCTGTTTGTAAGGCGAGAGCAGACCCTCCCCTTACGGGAAGCCCTGATGGACTGGAGCGTAGGGAGTGCCCCCAATAATCCGCCTTCACTTGAGGTATACTGCCTCTGGTGATGGAGGCTCTGTACATCAGGTGGATGTATCCCTATAGCCACCTGATATGAGGCATGGGATTTGTGGTTATTGGTATTGTGCCATCTGTTGGTTTTATGGGTTTTATGTTGTAAGCTGCCCTGAGCCCACTTGTGGGACGGGGTGGGGCGTATAATCATAATTAAGAGATACCCTCTGCTTGTTAGCTTCTGGTTAGAGGGGTGTGCCCCGCCTTTGGTCCGGGGAAGCCTGGTGGACAATATGATGACTATGTGGACTCCTCCTATCACGTTACACTGACCACATGGACTTTATGTCTTACCTACAAAGGAGGAAATACTGTGTCTTATTCCTTGTTATAGTTACAGTATGCACTCATGTTGTTGTTGTGACACCACCAACTTTATAATTGTTTAAGATATTGTTTGTCACTTTCTGATGGCGTTTTCTACTACTGGAATTTGTATGTTTGGAACTTCATGTCTCTGGCAAGAGCCCCCTATAGTGCTGCCCCAGAGACTGTCCCCAAACCTGTTTAGCAGTTTCCTCTGTGTTAAGACACACCAATGCTTCCAGTGTGTGTGCCCTGCCCCCTTCGGCGGGCTTGTCGGGTCTCTGGGAAGAGACTTCCTGGGGTGTCCTGTCTCTGGGCATGGTCTGGTGTTGTCTGATTGAATCATGTTGTATATTGCTGGTTAGGGTTAGAGTTAGAAAGTTGGACTATTAGTGAAGTAAACAAATTAGTAAATTCGGGTTCACTCTCTGCTCCCTCACGAGGGGTGGCAGAGGATCACCGTCTGCCCCATGGAACGGCATTCTTGGACTGGTCCCTTCCTGGCATGCACCCCCCCCCCGACCTTCCTTTTTCTCCCCCGGCTTTCCCCGAACCTTCAGATCATGGAACTTCTTGACCGCTGACCCTTTGAGGGTTCCTAAGGCTGCACGGGTGTTTTATGTTGTCTTCCTTCTCTTCTAATGCCGTTCTTATTATAGGGATGTGCATCTTACTCTGAGCACCTTTTGAAATGGAAAAAATTACTTGATGGATTTTAAAACGAACGTTGTCTTTTAGCAGTTGGGTTCAGAACATAAAAAGAGCCCTGCTGGAAGTGGCCAACCAGTTCCTCTGGAGGGCCAACAACAGGGCAGAGAGGCCGAGGCCTTCATAAGAACATCAGAAGAGCCCTGCTGGATCAGACCAGTGAGGGTCCACCTAGTCCAGCATCCTGCCTCACACAGTGGCCAACCAGTTCCTCTGGAGGGCCAAGAACAGGGCACAGAGGCCGAGGCCCTCATGTTGCCTCCTGGCTAGTACCCTCTAGTGGACCTGTCCTCATGGATCTGTCTAATCCCCTTGTGAAGCTGTCTGTGCCTTTGGCCATTGCTACATCCCCTGGCAGAGGGAGAGCTTGCAGTATCTAAAGGTGGCATCTTAAAGAGCAAAGGATAAGAATGGAGGATGGGAGTAGAGATGTAAAATTTCTGGGGGGGGGGAACTGGACATTTTTGGAAAAATTGAAAACAATGCTACATTAGCATCTTTTTCAGATTGAAAGTCATTCTGGAAAGTCATTTAGAAACATAAAATATGACTATGGACATTTTTACTTGGCATGAAATTATCACAACTAGCATATTAAAAATATAGTGTATCCAAACAATTATTACAAACAGAATACCCACCCGCATGCAAAAACAAAACTGAAGCCTGTTCTTTTCTTGTGACAATAGCACCTCCTAAAGGAAGAAATGCATCTTGTGCTTCCATTGGAGAGTTCAGTTTGTAACCTAGGACTTGCTTGTCCTCAGTGCACAAAAATTAGATCAATCTGATACCATACATATTTTTTAGAAATGATTTGGAAAATATTTGAACACCTTGTCCTAAAATATTTTATTCATCATGTTAAAATAAAACGTTCCAGAATCAATTCCCCCCCCCCAATTTTTTGTAAAAGAACAAAAAAAGGCTTCAGGGGAAAAAAAAAAGTCCCCCCCAATTTTTCTGGCTTTTTTTCCAGACCTTCACATCTCTAGATGGGAGAGAAGGAGAGAGAGAAATCTGTTCCTCCATACCTGATGCTGGATTTTTGGGCTTTCCGTTTCTCTGTTCAGAGGCCTCCTCCAGACCCATCTTCTTTTCCTGCATGATCTCCGGCTGTCCCCCGGTATTTTCTCCTTGGTTAATTTGGCAGCCTTCAAGCAGGGCCCATTTTTATTTTTTATTTTTTGTACTGAGCCTGCCAGTTTCGGGTGCTTGGGTAAAATGTAATAAATCAGGCTATGATTAAGCCGAGGCAGGTCTTTCCAGGAAAGAAACCTCCATGTGGCTGAAGGATGTTTAGGGACAATAATAACCTGATTAGGATGGGACCAGTCGCTGTCCTCCCATAAACGAGACCCTGCAATTATTATCAAGTTAAACATTTCTCTTTTGCAAGCTGGGTCAGTTTTACAACAAGAGGTTGCCTGCGGAAAAGGGACTGAGTTCCCTGGTTTGTGAATCTGGGTGGAATTTGCTCTGCCTGCAATTTGTATAAACATCTGGAGCAGAGGTCCATCAGTGGCTATTAGCCACAAGGTACAGATGGAACACTCTGTCTGGGGCTCTGATGCGCTGTCTTTTTGTTTCTTGGGAGGGCTTCTGGAGTTCTGGCCCTGCTGGTGGACCTCCTGATGGCACCTGGGCTTTGGCCGCACAGTGTGTCAGAGTCTTGGACTGGGTGAGCCATTGGCCCGATCCGTCATGCCGTCTCTCATGTTCATTTGGGATGTGTGTGTTATGTGTGACTATCCTGTGTCAGAGTCCAATGTGCTTTGGACGCATTCGTGAGCGATTAGTTGTTACACCAGCGTGCCTCATACAGAATCAAAGTGGCTGTCTGAGATCTCAGGTGGAGGTCTTTCACATCTGCTGCCCAATCGCTTTCATAAGAACACGAGAGAAGCCAATGCTGGATCAGGCCAATGGACCATCCAGTCCAACACTCTGAGTCACACAGTGGCCAGAAATACCAGGTGCCATCAGTAGGTCCAGCAGTGGGGCCGGGACACTAGAAGCCCTCCCACTATTGCCCCCCCCCAGCACCAAGAATACGCAGCATCCCTTGCCCCAGCCTGTGAGTTCCTGTCTACACCTTGTGGCTATTGCTAATAGCCACTGATGGACTTCTGCTCCATACATTTATCCCATTCCCTCTTGAAGCCGCCTGTGCTTGTAGCCGCCACCACCTCCTGCGGCAGTGAATTCCCTGTGTTAATCACTCTTTGGGGGAAGAAGGACTTCCTTTAATCAGTTGGGCATGTAAAGGATTGAACTTGGGATGTTTGGTGTGCGGAGCAGAGACTTGGCCACTGAGCCACGGCCCCTTCTCTGTCGCAGTAATGGTGGGGAGGAGGACGCTGGGGGCGCTTGGCGCTCTCCAAGAACTTGGGGTGGGGAGGAAGTCATACCTGCTGGTCTTGGAGAATATGGCTTGACTCATGCTGTCCTGGTGCATTTCCTGACTTGGCTTCAGTTTGTGGACACGGCTTTCTCCCTTGGTCTGTATGCTGGGTTGGTTGATTTTCTTGATGGTTAACTCTTTGTCAAAGGGTGACAGTTAACTCTTCGTCAAAGGGGGGTGCTTCTGTCCCATTTGTCCATCTTTCATGTCCCACAGGAGACTTGGTTGTTCCCTATGTATCAGTCTGACCCCTGCTAAGGAGGGCAATTCCAGAGCATTAAGGGCGCTTCAGTTTTACCTCTCCTGCTTCAGCCTCCTGAAGTTGTTTTTCTGGGGGGGTGCGTGAAGGGTCTGCAGTAAGGTGTAAAAAGGTAAAGGTCTCCCTCGCTCAAAAGCCAGTCGAGTCCGACTCTAGGGTTGAGGTGCTCATCTCCGTTTCCAAGCCGAAGAACCAGCGCTGTCTGAAGACATTTCCGTGGTCACGTGGCCGGCATGACTAAATACCAAGGCGCACGGAATGCTGTTCCCTTCCCACCGAAGTGGTACCTATTTATCTACTTGCAATGTCTTGTTTTCGAACTGCTAGGCTGGCAGGAGCTGGAACTAGAGATGGAAGCTCACTCCATCATGCGGCACCCGGGTCTCGAACTGCTGAACTACTGGGTACCCCCTCTCTCCCTCCTTCCTTTCTGGCGCTTGATTAAAAGCATTCCTATTTATTTCACTATTCACAGTGTGTTTTTCCGCTGCTTTTAATTGGCTGTTTATGGCTGCTTTTTTCTCAG